CATATAGAAAGAAATCAGAAGTTGGTAATAGCAACAAACTTGGAAAGTTCACAAATATGTAAAAATTAAATAAAACACTACTGAATAATCAGTGTGTCAAAGAAGAAACCTTGAAGAAAGTTAGAAAATACTTTGAGAGGAATGAAAATGAAGGCACAATATACCAAAACTTACAGCATGCAGCTAAAGTAGAGTTTTGAGGGATATTTATAGCTTTACACACCTATATTTAAAAAGAATAAAGATCTCAATAAATAATCTTCCATCATGAGACAACGGAAAAAGAAGAGCAAAGTAAACCTAAAGCAGGAGAAAGGAAGGAAATACAAAGATCAGAAAAGAAATTAACAAAATAGGGACTAGAACGGCAATAGAGAAAACCACAAAAGGGGATTTCTTTGAAAACATCCACAAAATTGACAAAGCTCTAACTGGACTAGTCAAGAAGAAAGGGGAAGTCTCAAATTACTAAAATCAGGCATACAAGGGGAAATCACTAACGGTACTGCAGAAATTTAAAAAAAAAGGAATATAAGCGAATGTTAAGAACAATTGTAAGCCAACAAATTCAATTCACATGAAATAGATACATTCCTAGAAAGACATAAACTACCAAAACTGACTAAAGAAGAAACAGAAAATCTTAATGACCTATATAACAAGTAAAGAGACTGAATTCATAATTTTTGAACTTCTTATAAAAAGAAGCCCAAACCCCCATGATTTTATTGCTGAATTCTAACAAACATTTAAAAAAGAATTAATACCAGTTACTTACAAGCTCTTTCAAAAATGGAAGAGGGATCACTTCCCAACTCATTCTATGAAGCCTTTATTACCCCGACACCCAAACAAGACAAAGACAGTACAAGAAGACTACAGACAAACTCTTATGAATAGAGACGCAAAAATCCTCAATAAAATATTAGCAAACCAAATCCATTAACTCATAAAAAGGATTACACGACGCTATTAAGTAAGCTTTATCCCAGAAATGCAAAGTGAGTTTATTTAGCATGTGAAAATCAATGCAACTTATCGCTAGAACAGAGAACAAAATCCACAAGATTATCTTGATACCAAAAAAGCATTTGACAAAATTTAAAACCCTTTCATGATTGAAACAGCAACACACTAGTAGGGAACTTCTCCAATCTGATAAAGGGCATCTATTAAAAACCCACAGCTAACATCATACAGTTGGCCATGGGTTCATATACAGAGATATGGAAGGCTGCCTGTAAGAGACTTGAGCATCCATTGATTTTAGTATCTGCAGGGGTTTGGGGGAGGGTCCTGAAACCAATCCCCTATGGATACTGGAGGATGACTATACTTAATTGTTTAAGACTGAAGGTTTCCCCTAAATCAGGAAAAAGTCAAGGATGCCTGCTTTCACCACGGCTATTCAGCATCTCGGTGTCTTCTGCTAATACCCATCATCACCCTCATTTTTTTTTTTGCCACCTATCAATCTTTCCCTTATAGAAGAGTTTACTATTGAGTTCATGACCCTCTTCCCCACCCCAAATCCCACTCTCGTTCTGTGTGTTTTTAACAGTCATGTGGGTGGCATCTCTGATAGCTAAATCCTCATAGTTTTCTTGTCTCTCCTCAATCCAGTGACTTTCCTCTTTACACCACTTTAGAAAATCAGACTGATGGGTGTATGTTACACCTTGTCATTAGCCATCCATCATTCCTCTGCTACTCCACTCGGAAAACCTTTCCTTCCTGCAGCCCACTCACTTTTCCACACTTGCTAATCTAATAAGTTATTAGATTGCTTATGCCAGGGGTCATAGGCAAACTTTTCCTGTCGAGGGCCAGATGATAAATATTTCAGGCTGTTGGGTCACATGAGCTTTGTCACAGAGACTCAGCTCTGCAGTTTTAGAGAAAAAGCAGTCTTAGACAATTTGTAAGGAAATGAGCATGGCTGTCTTCCAAGAAAAACTTCATTTACATAAACAGGCCATGGATCAGATTTTGGTCCAGGGCTTTCTAAAGGGGTTCTGACAAAATCTGCTTTCTTGTAGGCTGAGTTCTGAATGAGCTGAGAAATTAGAAAAGAAACAGCCAATGGAGAGCAACCCCCCAACCCCCAACCCCCCCAAATTCACAGTTACTTATAAGAAAGCTGTAGTTGGAGAAGGTAGTTTATATCTGTAGGCAAGTCGCCTTTCTAATACTGAACTCCCAAATCAGAGACGCTTACTTATCCTGTCCAGTCAGCACCAGACCAAGCGAAGACTTCTCAAACAGGAAAAAGCTGAGGAGACTGGGTACCTTCTTATGAAAACTCATTAAGGTCCGTCCAAATGCATGGAAATGTCAGCAGTGGGTTCTTAATGTTCTGCCTAGAGCAAATATTCACCCCCTTCCCCCACTGTTCCCAGACTGGGTGCTAGTGTTCACGAGGTCAGGGCCTCCTTTCCTGCAGGGCTGCTAGCAACACACATTTCTTCATGTTTCTCGAGCGTGTGCCAGGGGGAGGGGGTGTTTTCCTGGGTTAGCTCACACTTCTCTGTGAACGCATTCCAAAAGCAGACAGGAATGGAGTTTAAACCTCAGGAGCCTTTGGATATTGCAAAAAAAAAAAAAAAAAAAAAAAGATCCTGCTAAGGGGGAAAGATCCTTTGGCAGTCTTTTATCTTAAAAATGTGTACTAATGTTGCATTTGCCCAAGGGTATGTTGAAGTTTAAATTGGCAAAGTTGTCTGCTCATTTCCCGATTCAATAGCTTTAATTCCACCCCCCATCACTGATAAAATTAACACTATATATATATATATGTATATATATACTTTATATATAGATATTTATTTATATATATATATATATGTTTTCCTTCTTCTCCTTCCTCCATTCCTTTTTTTAATTTATGTATTTATTTCACAATATCATATTTTAAAATTGAAGTGTAGTGGATGTACAATATTGTATGTTACAGGTATATAATATAGTGATTCACAATTTTTAAAGGTTATATTCCATTTATAGTTATTATAAAATATTGGCTGTATTCCCCGTGTTGTACGATACATCCTTGTAGCTTATTTTATACCTCAGAGTTTGTACCTCTTAATCCTCCGTCTCCATCTTGCCCCTCCCCCTTCCCTCTCCCCACTGGTAACCACTATCTCCTTCTCTACACCTGTGAGTCTGTTTCTTTTCTGTTATAGTCACTAGTTTCTTCTATTTTTTTAGATTCCACATGTAAATAATATTTTACAGTATTTGTCTGTCTCTGTCTGACTTATTTCACTCAGCATAATGCTCTCTAAGACCCTCCATGCTGTACACCAGAGAAATTAATACAACATTTTAAATAAACTGTAGTTCAATTAAAAAGCAAACAAACAGCCCATTTAAAATATGTGCAGCAGAACTGAACAGACATTCTTCCAAAAGAGGAAATGCAGATGGCCCATAGGAACACAAAAAGCTGCTCAAAAATTAACACTATAAAAAAGTGTACTGTTTACAACCTGGGACCCCTCTCCCCCGCACATGTGGCCTCCTACTCCCCACACCATTGGCTAAAATAATTTTAATTTGAGAAGCAAAAGTCAAGACTGTGTCACTTCAACCAAAAACCAGCTCCTCTTCGTGACATTGATTTCCTCTCAAATCAGTCTCAAAGCTGGGGAGCCACAACCCTGAGCCCACCTGGCCCATTCCTGGGGGCTGCAGGCCCACACAAGTCAAGGGCCGGGAGCTCTGGCCTCCGCCCAGCCGCTGACGACATCATGGTCTCAGGCCAGCTTTGTGGCCCCTCTCTGTGCCCCGGGCTCTTGGTTACACGGGGGTGGTAGCAGCGGTCCCGACTAACTCAGCAACTCTTATGAAAACAAAGTGTGTTAATTATACGTTTTGGGGGAACAAAGCATTTGTTTACTGTGCTGTTGTCCACGCGGCTGTGGTAATTGTGCTGTGGCTCAGAACACACATCAGTCAGCAAGGATTTAGGGAGCCAAGTGTCTTCATTTAGTTCAACGCAAGAGAGGAGCCTTTCAGGGTTTAGTTGAAGAATCCTGGACCCACTAGCATAACTGTCACAATCCCATAGTACAAGGCAGTAGAGAAGAATGTGCCTTCTAAAGGGCGGGGAAGGCTTGGCGGGAGCGACGTCTCTTTTCTTTCAATACATTCTTTTAGTTATTATAGTTATTACCTACTAAATCTCTGCACCAATTCCTGCATGCTGTGATTACAGCCCCGATAGCCATACAGTTATACAGATATGTGCCTGGGCAGATTGGTACAGATACAAACAAATGCTACATGTATACGCATATATCATGTACATGAAATACACACGTGTGTATCTATATACGTATCTCTGTGGATGTCTCCGCGCAGAGCAATGCAAATTTGAGTATGGCTGGTGGTGACAGGCCACCTGGTGGGTAGTTGCGCTGCGATCCTTTAACCACCTTTATTTATTTTATTCTTTTTTTTTATTGAGTTATAGTCAGTTTACAATGTTGTATCAAATTCCAGTGTAGAGCACAATTTTTCAGTCATACATGAACATACATATATTCATTGTTGCCTTCTTTTTCACTGTGAGCTACCACAAGATCTTGTACCGTTAAGTGATGGTGTGACCCCCACGTCCACATAGTTTGGACTCTCTCCTACCCTGCTACGGGCGCATGTTGCAGTAGGATTCAGACCGATGGGTCCTCCTCTTGTGACCTGAGATTTAATTTAAAATATCTTTGTTGGAGCGCTTAATGGATGCTGCTGGGTAGAGCAAGGGAAACAGTTGTCAGAGAAGGCACGCCAAATTTTGAGAGGAACCAGTCAAATAGAATCTCAGTCATTGAGGAACTGTGGACAAGGGCTTCTGACAAGGCTCTCCTTCCTTCCAGTTTTCGAGATCCTTCTCCGGTTACAGTGGACGTCACTAATCCCACATGACAGCGACATGAGCAAGGGAAGTCCACTACATACATAAGTATGTTTGGCCTCAAGCAAAGGTGACCTTGGGCTGTTACTAGATGTGTCCATTGTCTGAAGTGAACTTCCTCTTGGCTTCTTTCTCTGGCTCTGTGGAGTGAGCAGTGGGCAGGTCACCACCAGGAAGGGCTGTGTTTACAGCCCTGGCCACAAACGGAATTTAAGCTTTTGATCAATGAAGCTGATAGGGAAATTCCAGCCCCAAAATAAATGCAAAGGCTGATTTGCCCAGAGAAAGTCTGGACAGCTGCTATACTGGTGGAAGAAAACAAAGAATATGATGGAGGAGATACTTATCCAGAGGTGCGGTACCATCCAACTCTTATTTGCAGGTTTCGTGGTGGGACAGGAGGCAGAACCACAGACTAATCAGTTCTTTTCAAATGGTGCATTGCCACCCTTTAGGGGATAGTAAAATTATTTCATCCAAGCATCAAAAATGCTTTAAAATTGAAACAGAGCAGCACAGAGAAAAACAGAATAACCAGAGAATATCATAGTACCTTGCATGCAGTAAAGGTAAGTATTGTTTTATGAAACTCGTATGTGTTTCGTGTTTGTGTGTGTGTGCGTGTGTGTGTGCACAACCTGAAATGAGATTTGATATGATTTTCTTATGATGGGTCCTGGGCAAAAGAAGCTTGGGAAACTGCCATAATTTAGCTCTTTGCCATATACTTTTGGGATTCTGGGTTTGCAAAACTAAAACAAAAATTCTGGCCACTCAGCAATGACCTTCTTTAAAAAATACACCCTTGTGCTTGACGGTAATGTTTCTCAACTACTTTAGCAAGAGGCGATTAAAAACCTGAGGTGGAGAGCAGGGATATGTCTATGTCCTGGCTGGACCCCCAATTTTAAAAACAATACTCAGCACAGATCAGACTCTCCTTTAAATATGTGTTAAAACAATAAGTAATACATATGAATTCTTACTCATAAAATTGTCATTTTCTCACTATCAACTAAATAATATCTAATTTCTCCAGAAATATGGACACGTGCTAACACATTTAAGTAATTTATCTGTTTTCATTCCCACAGCAATGACCATTCCCGTATGTAATTTTAGAGCTGTTTTTATCAAAGGTCTGTAGCACGCCATTCCCAAGGGTCTTCTAGTAACTTAGTGTGTCATGTTTTTCTCAACCACAGGAAATCTTTAACTATATTCTTCAAACCTAAACTAGATTTAGGATTTAATCCACATGAAATTACTTTAAAATTTTTCAGGCTGCATCTGAAACGCTAAAATAATGTGAAATCTCAGCCCCGCTCCCTAAACTCCCCACCCATCCTCAGGAAGCCAGTGTTTGATACCAAATGCTTTGTAGCTAAAAGTCACCCAAAACCAATTTCAAAATGTTAAAACTGGAAAAACAAAGTTTCAAATGGCCAGGAAATTCGCAGCATTCCTAGAACCACCTGGAAAACCTGGAGAAGGCCAGCAGTAGTGTAAACCACATGAACAAAATAAGTCTTTCTTTGCACAAATGAACTTATTTACAAAACACTGGATGGACCTGGAGATTGTCATTCTAAGTGAAGTAAGTTAGAGAGAGAAAGAAAAATACCATACTATGTCACTTATATGTGGAATCTAAAAAAAGAAAGAAAGAAAGAAAAAGAAAAGAAAGGAAGAAAGAAAGGAAGAAAGAAAGAAAGAAAGAAAGAAAGAAAGAAAGAAAGAAAGAAAGAAAGAAAGACAGACACTAATGAACTTATCCACAAAACAGAAACAGACTCATAGACATAAAAAAATTTAGGGTACCAGGTGGGTAAAGGGGCAGGAAGAGATAAATTGGGAGTTCGAGATTTGCAGAAACTAACTACTATATATAAAATAGGTGTATAACAAGTTTTTTCTGTATAGCGCAGAGAACTATATTCAAGAATCTTGTAGTAACCTATAATGAATAAATATGAAAACAAATATAGCATGTATGTGTATGACTGAGACATGATGCTGTACACCAGAAATTGACACAACATTGTAAACTGACCATACTTCAATTAAAAAGAAACCTGAGGTGGAAACAAGCTGCCTAAGAAAACAAATGGGAGCCTTTGAAGGCAGCTACCGGGGCAGATAAGACCAGGGAAAGAGGACACCAGGTAACACATGTGTGTATGTGCATGTGTGTGAGTCTGCGTGAGTGTGTGTGTGTATGTGTGTGTTCGGGAGAGATTTAGAGACCAGGATTCATTAGAGGACACTAGAAAAAAAAGATGTTTTTGAGGGTAAACAGTTGCTATGAAAAGTCTCCGAGCCCCGATGTGACTGCAAACAGAAGAGTTTATCTGAGAGTCAAGACCCAGGAGCTCTTATCTGCTTTACCCAGTTCAGCTCCCTGCTTCTGGGAGGACAGCTGTTTCTGATTCCTCGTAGCACATGTAAAGGAACGTCCTGAGCAACCAGCAGATAGCAGCTGTAGAGAACGTAATGGTCTTCTGGAAAAGTACTGAGGAGGAACCTAGACATGCAGGGCGATGTCACGGTTATTCGGCTTAAAGTGTGATGATCCCTCCTGTTTCTCTCTTAGGACCCTCGCTTTGTTTCCAAATGCCCGAGTTCGTAGATTACTATTGATGCTGACGTCTGTCTTAGTTTTCTGGGTCATTTACTTCTCTGCGAAGGACCACACAAAGGTAGGAATTGTCTTCTTTTTCAAAATTTCAGAAAAGGTCACAGTAACTTCGAATGCTCACCTTGACCAACGTGAGGGTTAAAAGTTAACAGTGCCTTATCTTAGCAACAGATGCGGATGAGAGACTCCTTTGTTCAGCGTTAATTCCTTTGACATTATATACTCTATGGTCTTTTTGTTTTCGCTTTTGTTTTTATTTTTAGCAGCAGGTAGATTTGCAGCCATCTCTGTAGTTTTTGGCATAGCTAACCATCCTACCTAAACATTCTTTTCGACGTTAGCCTCTGAGACTCCAATCCAATTAAATCTCAGATTCAGTTCTCTACCTTCCTCACAGGAGTTTTCTTATTCTTTGCATAGTTCAGTTAGCATTTTTTGATTTTTTCCCTTTCTGCAGTCTTTTTTTTTTAAGAACAGATCTTCTTTAACTTTCTCCTCTTCTTGACCATTTAGTACAAAACTAATCTTTCATAAATTCTGCTTTCGTCATCTTCTTGTCCTGATCAAAAACTTTCACCAACGGCTTTTACAGATGGCAGCCCAGATCACCTCCTTGGTTAGCCATTCAAGCTTCTCATCTTGGTCTGATATAAAACTCCCAGCTCCAAACAAGAAGGACCACAAGTCTAGGATGTTCAGACCATGCTGTGAACTGATAAATGGTAGCATTCTCAGACCACGGCTCAGAAGGTTTCTCTCTGTGAGTTCTCTCCATAAATATGCATTGTCTAGATTTTTTTCCTTCCATCCTCTTCTTGTTCGTGCTTATGTGCTTTAATTCATATGCTCAGGTCCCATCCACCACTGATATTTCTATTCCTTACAGTGAGGTCTGGACACTCTCTGCCCCAGAACACCCGTGTTTATGCATGTATAAAATGCAGGTTCCTGGACCTAACTCCAGAATTACTAAAAAAGAAATCTCTGGGCTTGAGCCTAAAATGATGAAGGAGTAACAAGTGCCCCAGCTGATTCTTACGTCCACTCAGGTTTGAGAATGTCTGCTCACTTACTCCCAGAGCCGAGACCCTATTCTGTGTCCCCTCTTGAATATGCCCTGTTTATGAGTTAACTCTGCTTCCGTTCCACCAGTTTTACCAACAGAAGAAAAGCACACTGAGTTCTTCCTCTTCCTCAGCATCCTCTGTGACAAAAACAAAACAAAATCATGTAGAAACAAATTCCCTGTCTTCCTCCTGTCTCTCCTGCATGGTGGTTGTGGCATCACCCACAAGTCAGCCAAGCCAGAACGCTCTGCACAGTCGGCCACTAAGTCTCATCAGTTCTACCTCCTAAATGTCTCTCAGATCTCTCCTTTTATCTCCATCCCTGTAGTCTTGCTTTAGTCCAATTCTTTGTCGTTTCTCATCTATCGTGTTGAAACAGTTTTCTAATTAATTTCCCTGCCTCCAGTCTCAGCCTGCTCTCATTCATTCTACTAACGTTTGTTGGCTAGAGATTGTGGGGCTGAACTCAGGTATAGGACATCATCTTTGTGCTCAAGAGTGTGAGATTGTATTTCTAAAATAAAAATGTGGGTATGTCCCTTGTCAGTGGCAGCATGGCAGGGCCCAGACTCCCTGGCACGGTGTCTCGGTCAGGCTCATTTACTAGAGGACACAGAAACCCTGGCCCACGGCATTCTTGCACTGGCCCTTCCCTCTGCCTGTTCTTCCTCAAGGTTTTCACATGGTGAATACTCTTCCTTCAGGTCTTTGCCCAGATGTCACCTTCTCGATTTAACACTAGAAACAGCTCCATCCCTACCTCTTAGTATTTCTCTTAGTCTGTTTGACTTTTGTTTTTTTAAGGAGGTACTGGGGATTGAACACAGGACCTTGTGTATGCTAAGCAGACGCTCTACCACTGAGCTATTTCCCTTCCCTCGACTTATTAAAAATAATACTAGTTTTCACTTTCTAAAATATTATATAATTTACTTATTATGTTCCTTTACTATTGTCTATCTTGACCTGCTACAAGGTGACTTTCATAAGAACAAGGATTTTTATCTATATTTATTTGTTGGTATATCCTAAGTTGAATATACAGATTTGAAGCTGAGAAAGACTTGGTTTAGAAAAATGGTTTTAGGAAACGTCAGAATATAAATGGCAGCTCATAATCACTGGTGTCTGTGACAGTTCCTTGGGTGAGCTATATATAGAGTGAGAAGAAAAAGTTGCTAATGATACTGCCCCAAGGAACAATAAAAGCGCTGGTCTGAGAAGTGAGTGGTAGAAAAGAAAGTGATTGAAGAGAACTCTTGGGAAACTCAGCTGGGTAGGACTAGGGAATAAGCAAAAGTTAAGACAGCAGTTTTGTTTTGTTTTGTTTTTAACATCGAGATACTTGAATACATCTAAATTTTTATGGAAACAAGTTAACAGAAGCAAATAGGAAGTAGGAAGAAAGGTGTGGTTACAATTAAGTGACAGAAAGTTGAATTGCCATCTGACTGATTTTTTAGGTTTCCAAAGCTGAGAAGGTTAAGGAACAAAGAAACTTAGGTATTGGAGGAGTTGCCTCCTGGACATTGAGGTCTACTAGGAGGATATAAGGATTTTTAATGATGAAGAAAACTAGAAGCCAAGTTCTTCAAAATCTTCAGTCAATGAGTAGAAGGTACCAATGACTACAAAATTATTGAAAAGAGGAGGATTATGTAGTAATTAATGATATTTGGTCAGATGTATCACGGAGAACAGAAAATCTTAGAATTTTCTGAAAAATACTGTATATATTTTTAGTATGATTACAACTCGATAAAATATATGCATGGAAGGAAAAAGAAAGAGTGAATGTAATAATTTAAAAATACCATGAAGACAGTAAAGCTTAGGTAGGATCATGTTAAAAACAATATGGCTATTTGATTTTTAGAAAGAAAAAAATAAGTCAAGTGAGGAGATGGTAAAGGGAAACACTTAAAAATCCAATCATTTGCTAATCTCGAACTCCCAAATTTATTCTCGAACTCCCAAATTTATCCTTCCCACCCCCTTACTATATTTCAATAAAAAATCCCATCATTAAATAATACATAATTATTGTATATGATTAATTTTTAAGCCCAAAGACTTCTAAAAGAAATTCAGCAGCTGGTAACAGAGGACATCACATCTCATGGGAATCAATTCTGTGATTCCAAAACGGGAAATTAGTTAGAATCCATTTCTGTTATGTGATTACATGAACTAAAGTGTGTGTAAGCTAAAGCAAGCCATAGTATCTGCTGATAATATATCCCTTTTCCTTCAATACTTCAGTTCATATTTAGCTTGAGAAACCCTCTCTATCTGAATCATTGGAATATCTTTAGAAAGTCCTTCCCAGAAGCTCTGCTGGATCTAGAAGCTTCACCAACAGAGACTGAGCTGAGAATAAAAGGAATCATGGAGAAACTAGACCAGCTGATGCCACCCAGACCCTTCACCAACATCACCACCACCACCAGCGCCAAACACAGCAGAGCCACCATCCTCAACCCTCAAGACACATACTGCAGGGGGGACCAGCTAGACGTCTTGCTGGAGGTGAAGGACCACTTGGGACGCAGGAAGCAATATGGCGGGGATTTCCTGAGGGCCAGGATGTTCTCCCCAGCCCTGAAGGCAGGCGCTTCAGGAAAGGTGACAGACTTCAACAATGGCACCTACCTGGTCAGCTTCACTCTGTTCTGGGAGGGCAAGGTCTCTCTGTCTCTCCTGCTCATCCACCCCAGTGAAGGGGTGTCGGCTCTCTGGAGGGCAAGGAACCAAGGCCATGACAAGGTGGTCTTCACAGGCCGGTTTGCCAATGGCACCTCCCAGGTCTTCTCTCAGTGTGGCCTGACCCCACACTCCAATGCTGAGCTGTGTGAGTACCTGGACTATCGTGACCAGGAAGCCTTCTACTGCGTGAGGCCTCCACATGTTCCCTGTGAGGCACTGACCCACATGACCACCAGGAATGCAAACATTTCCTATCTTAGCAAGAAAGAATGGAGCCTTTTCCACAGGTAAACAGACCTTCAAACACAAGCACTGATACGAAGAGGGAGACTTAGGTTTGAACCAACTCTGCCTGATAACTTTTCTTAATCAAGCTCCCTTATCACGTCAGTGAATATTGATTAGATTATAATCAGACCTGTCACTCGGAGTCAGTGCAGATGGTAGCATATTAACAGGGCCTCATACAGATTACCTCTGCAACTGTGGTTTTATTCATAGTTGCTATACTTGTTGCTAAAAGAAGTATAACCAATGAAGGAATCCATGGTTTGTTATGCTTCCAGTCATTTCTTTAGAGGTCAATATTTTCTAGAATGTACTCCATGGAATACCAGTCCTACAGCGTGCTAATAGGTGCTAAGCAAAACAACACAAACAAACAAGCAAACAAAAAACCCAAGGAAGGGGAGGCGAACATCATTACTGAGTCTACTTCACCCTTCATAACAAATGAGTCACCAAACCCTGTGAATTGTACCTCCCAAATATCTTCTGAACCCAGCCATTTCACCCTATTTCTGTTGCCTCTATCCTTGTATAAATTATCATCATACCTCAGGTAGGTTATTGCAACAATCTCCAGAGATGGTTTCCTTGCTCACAGCCTCATTTCCTTCAATCTGCTCTCCACACTGCACCTGGACTAATGTGTCTAAAATGTAGACGACTTTTACTTTTCCTTGCTGAAAATATATTGCTCTAAGGAGGGAATCCAAGCTCTTCAGTATGTTTACAAGGGCTTGCC